TTTTTTCTCTCTTACCGTGTCACAAACAACCAACCAACCAACCAACAACCAATTAACAAGAAAAATTTCAACCAAAGATCCCAAATGCGTTAATAATATGAGCGTGATGATTTATTTTTCTTTTCCCTTTTTTTTTTTCTTTTTGTAAATATATATTTATATATATATATATTGAACTTTTTCGTTATATGAAAGTTGATCACTGTATAAAAGAGACAATTTATGAGTTAAAAAAACTCTGAATGAATTGTTTATGAAAACAAATGATATTTACATTTCTATGAAGTATGTTTTATAACGAAAGGGTTAATATATGTATATGTGTAAATGTAAAAAACAAACAAACAAACAAAAATAACAAAACAATTAATTAATTAATCACTCAAAAGAAGTCTCATCTTTGGCACATCTTTTCTCTCGTTGTGCATATCAAAAAGAAAATGGCACCGAATGATAATACAGAGAGTAGTACGTACGAACGAGCAAGAGGAAATGAAACAAAAATTATACACAAAAAATCATATTCGTTGTTGTTCACATTAAATGATGATCGAATGTATTATATGTTCGAAACAATTGTATCGATCAAGTAAATATGCCTTTAAAGCGTTCCTTTAGCGAACAATTATATTTAGCAGTAAAAACGCTTTCTTGTTCTCTCAGCGTGTAATTAAAACAAACAAAACAAACAAAACAAAACAAATACAAGGAAATATACATTTCTTTTCTTTTCTTTTCTTTTTTTCATTTTTTTTTTTTTTCATATTCGATTAAAATTGTGAACGTGATAGTTAACAAAAAGAAAAAAAAAAAGAAGAAAAAAAAAAGGGAAGAAGAAAAAACATCTTACATTTCATTAGATAAATCTATGATGATAATAAATTGCAAATACAATTGAGAAATAAATAATTAACTCAAACACAAAAACAGAAAAAATATTGAAGGAAGAAAAATTTTCGAAGTAAAAAAAATAAATTATAGAAAATATAAAAGTTATAGGATAAATATAAAAAAAAACAAAAAAAGATAAACAAAATTAATTGAAACATTGCGAGTGTGTTTTTTTTTTCAAATCAACTATTTGAATAATTAATTAATTAATTAATTAATTAATTGATTAACGTTAATAAAAAGGGGGAAATTACTTTTTTGAAATTAAAAGCTTTTGGGTTTGTACGATAAGAAAGAAGTGACGTTTATTGTTAATCGTTTTTTAATTAATAGATAATGTAAATGTATAAAAAGCGTACACATTTTTGCTTGAAGGACAAAAGCAAAAAAAATATAATTGAAAGAATGAAAACGAAAAAAGAAATAAAAAAAAACAAAAACAAACAACAAAACAAAGAAAATTCAATCGTATTGCAAGTTGAGAATGAAAAATGACAGCGATATTACGATGATTCAATTGATAGCAGTGTTTTCTTGAAATAATAATAATAATAGTAATAATATTATTATTATTTTTATTAATATTAATTATATAAATATAATAAGTAAATATAAATAAGTATATAATAATATTAATTTAAATGATGATAATAATAATAATAATAACAACAACAACAACAACAAAAGAAGAAAAAAAAGAGAAAAAAAAATTAATTGCAATATTTCATCGTTGTTGCCTCTCAACAAAAAAAAAAAAAAAAAGAAAAACAACAAGATGAAGGACAAATTTGTAGAGAGGTGTGGTTTTTTTTCCCTTTTTCTTTTTTCTATAGAAAAAAATCAATAATTTTTCCACGTTCGAGAAGTATATATATGTATACATATATATATATATATATACTATAAGTGTGATAAAGGAAATTTTTAAAGAAAAAAAAAAAATGGACGAACAAGAGAAACAAGGTCAAAGAAAAATAATAATAAATAACCCACGTCCAAAACTGTATATAAACTTTTTAGTATATAAGAAGTTAAAAGAAGAAGAATAAATAATAAAAAAAAAAAAAAAGAGAAAGAAAAAGAAATGGAGCGATGATTCGAGGAGAATATATATATATATATATTATCCTACTAATTACCGTTCGCAAGTCGTGCATTTGTATTTCGCGCGTTTTTTCCTCGCGCATCTTCCCCTAACACTTTTCCGATTCCAACTTCACTTCACTTCACTTCACTTCAATTCACCATCAATTCAAATGGAATGAACAACTCTCGATGTCATTTTAAAACAAAATAATCCACGGATTTGGAAAAATAATAACAATACTCATAATAATTGGTTTTGCGATAATATACAATTGTTTATTGTAAAACAATTTGTATAAAAAAAAAACACACACACACACACTTCGTTCGAAACCGTCTATGCGAGTATTCCTACTTTCGATTATTCGATCTTACAATCGAAAATCGAATATATTTGCCTTTGCGATTTAATTGAAAATAAACAAATCTATCGTTAATATTAAACTAAGAATTTTTTTTTATTTCATTTGTGTAATGAAAAGAAACATTTCATTTCTTTTTCTAATTCAATTGTACTTGTTTTTTTTTTCTAATCGAAGAAAAAAAAAAGTACCAAATTAAATTCAAAGTCCGCTGATTAATTGTCATTGTTTTGTGAATTTGATTAATTTTTTGTTTTTTTTGTTTTTTAGGAGCATTGATGCAGACTTTGAATTTTATCAATTCGAATGCGTAATTAGCGATTGTAATTAATGAAATAATTGAAGCTAAAATAAACACTTTTTTAATTGTACTCTTACAAAATATGTTCTATTTTTATGGAAAAGAAAGAAAGAAAGAAAGCAAAGAAATTAAAGATGGAGAAATGTTACTTAGCTTCAGTTATCAAACACTCACTTATGTCATTTATTTCGAATACTAATTCAAATTGAGTTATGTATATATTTATATCTTTTCTATTTCAAGTGCTCCTAAATGAATGATAAGTTTTTATTATCTATTGTGAGAATTTTGTTTTGAAAAAATGAAAATGAAAAGATATTACGTTTGGGAATACTTGGAAAAGAGCTAAGCTTGCCTACTAATTCAGGACGGCGTTAGAAAGTTATCCTTAAATAAAGAAAACAGCAAAAAAATAATGAAAATTATCCATTGTCTAAGATTATTTTTCCTTTTTCTATCATTCTATGTTTAAAGAATACAAAATAATTGAATTATATTTGTAATTTTTGGAAAATTATTGATAAACAAAATAGTTTCTCCGAATGACTTTTCAAATATACGCGCCATAGTGACAAAGGGGTTTAGTAGTTTGACTGACGTAGTCAAAGTTTATCAGAAGTTTATGTTGGCATGTTTGACACGTCAAATTAAACGTAAACATGAACGTTCAGTTATTGGTAGGTTCTGTTAAATAACATTGACATTTTGTCTGTATACATTATATAAAAACTAGTTTCATTGTTATTTATTTTCGGTAAAAGTGTCGTCTTGTTAAATCGAAGTCATGAATCGGGCTAGTTCGTCGAAGTCTAGTCAACATAACCTCATTCAGTACAGTCCTGTACTGAATGATCTTTACGAATCCGTATGATTATCATTTGCGTTTATGATTGATTGTTTTATTAATTTTTTTAAACGTCCTTTTTTTTAATCACTATTATTACTAATTATGTTAATAAATAATATATTAATAAATTTGTTCAAACTTATAATCTTTTAATAGATGGGGGTTATGAAAATTTGATTTCAAACGTATTTTAATATTGTAATTGTGAATATTAACTAACTAACCTATTTGTATTTAAAAGTATGCATTTTGCCATAGTGAATAGATCTCTTTGATAATACTTTTGTATTTAAAAATGATTATTACAGGAACCAACATTATATACCGTCAAGGGTATGGCCATACTTGACAATGATGGCAACAGAATTCTTGCTAAATATTATGATAAAAATATATTCCCAACAGCAAAGGAACAGAAAGCATTTGAAAAGAATCTTTTTAATAAAACACATAGAGCCAATGCCGAGATTATTATGCTCGATGGTTTAACTTGCGTTTATAGGAGCAACGTAGATTTATTTTTCTACGTAATGGGAAGCTCACATGAAAATGAGGTAAATATAACATTTTTTTGTTACAAGTATAATTTTATGTTTATCACACTAATATTTCAAAATATGTTTCAGTTAATTCTGATGAGCGTTCTCAATTGTTTGTATGATTCTGTAAGTCAGATTCTTAGAAAAAATGTTGAGAAAAGAGCAGTCCTAGACAGTTTAGATATTGTCATGCTAGCAATGGATGAAATTTGTGATGGAGGGTACGTATATAAAAAAATAATTCACATTTGTAATTTGAGAATGTATATAAAATGTACATTTTTGTTGTAGAATCATTTTAGATGCAGATGCTACTAGTGTCGTTCAAAGGGTAGCATTAAGGACTGATGACATACCACTTGGAGAACAAACAGTTGCACAGGTAATACTTGATTATATGTTTCATTCGTTCAAACAAATTAACAAATGTTAGATGATATATGTCTTTGTTAAATGTGAGGATAGAAATATTTCCGATTTCTTTATTTTGTGTTCACGCATCGTTCTTCCTTCTTCGCACAGTCCCTGATTGTAAGTCTACTGCGATTATTAGGAATAATTGGGTTATTGCATTTTTTTTTTCTCTTTCCAGTACGTTTCATCATTTTTTAAATCTTCGTTTTTTGTTCTAGGTATTGCAGTCGGCAAAGGAGCAACTAAAGTGGTCATTATTAAAATGAATTCTTTCTATACAATATAGCAATGTTATTTTTACAATAATACAAAAAAAAAAAAAGACAAATTTTATAAATATTATCACAATGTGCTGTTGCATATTATAGAAATAATATGTAAATAAATTATATCAACTTGGATTCATTCTTCAATTCTCAAATTCTTCGTACAGTCCACAATAAGGAGAGTATTATTTTATTTAAATATTCAACATTATCTTTTTTTTTTTCATTAACATGAAGTCAACAATAAATCCTATACAAATGCTGAAAAGTATGTTAAATAAAATCGCTTTTAAGGTTGTTGTAAATATCGGTGGTCCAGGTGGTCCAGTGAAAGCAATTAAGTGTATAAATGGTGAAAATTAGCTGCAAGAATTGACTTTGGTTACATTCAGAGGAAGTAAGCTACGTGAATAGATATAGAAGCATCAGGGCTATTTAGCACTTTGACACCCTATTTACTATCCCTGCAGAAAAGATAGCTGAATGAAGGAAGGGTAGGAAAGGCTTTTAGCCCATATGTCAACATGTAACCATGCTCCATTGGTGAGCATTTAGTATTAATCATTCTATCGGACCATTGAGATTACGTGGATTTATTTTGAACAAAATGATATTCAAAAAGTCAAATTGAAATTATTTCAACAATATTGTAATTATCATAATGATCATTTAATAATATCATAAAACAATTGTAATTGAGAATTTTTCCGAATGACTATTCTATTGTTTTCTCTGAAAATAATTGAAGAACGGAACAGCTATTCGTGTGCCGCCGTATGCCATTATACGAAATAAATGCGAGTTAATTAAAGGGTGAAAGCAATTACTTGCGAATAAATCGCAGCCGTTAATCCGTTATAGCGCAGTCAAGTCTGCACTTCTCTTTTCGTATGGTATCACCTATCCAACCCCAAACTACCCTCTTTCGTTGGCACGTACACGAGGAAGGGGATTTGCGAAAACGATACCGATCCCATGCTACGTTCGCATAATTGACTTTGAGCATCACCACCTGCGACCTCGATGAAGCTTCCTTTCTTAACTTTATCTTTACTTATTTAACAATTAATTGTAATTAAATAATATTTGATTGTGTTAAATTTGATGTATAATTAAATCGTGTTTGATTCATAGTATTTTTGAATGAAAACAATTTGTTTATTTTCATTGATTCATTTATAATTTTCTTCATTACCGATAACTTATCAAATTATTTCTTTTTTACAATCAGAGGATAAGTTGAATCATTTATAGTTTTCTTCATTACCGACAACTTACAACAAATTTCAAGATTAGATGTCGCTTTGGTCAGATCTATGTAACCGCAGATGATAAAGAAGATTTCGATTTTAAAAAAAAATACAAAGGTATTCATAACATTTTGTTTAGAGTGAGTGCGTGAATTAATGCAGGTAGTTCTTTTAAACATTATTTATATATGTTGTTAATAACAGTTATGTTAAACATTATGGTAAAGAAAAATAGGATTCAGAAATTCGATAAGATAAATCCACGTAAGTTAATACGTCATGTAAAATATTTTGATGAATGATAAAGTAAATGTTGCTATAGACATAACCTATATTTAATTGGTTACACGTCACATCTCATAATATCTTTCTATTAGTAAGTGCAATATTATTATCTTTCACAAACGTTAATTGATTCTAACCGTAGTAATTGAGATTTATCTAAAAGTATAGGATTTTAATTGGATTTCATTTGTTGAAGTATACGAATGAATATTTTTATTATAATCCTGATTTGATTTATTTTTAAGGTGAGCTACATGAAAAGTGTGACTTTTAACAAGACATCTCTTGCAATGGGTTACAATTTCTTATTATCATCCAAAAGCAATTTGATTAAAACCATGCATAGACAAGTTCATCATTGGTAAGTAAATACTTTACGATTAATTTTTTAATTTTTCATTATTTTTATTTATAATTATTATGTATTTATAGTTGTAAAGTTCTAGTAGTTGGTGGTGGTACTGGTGGTTGTACAATGGCAGCAAAATTGTCAAGGAAATTCAAAGGAACGTCTGATGGAGTAATAGTAGTTGAACCAAGCGAGGTAAAAATAATAAATCTGATTTATTTATATCATTTATTTGATATTTATTTAATTTGTATTATTTCATAGGTCCATTATTATCAACCATTGTTTACTTTAGTCGGTGGTGGTATTGGTTCTTACAATTATTCGAAGAAACCGATGAAGAAGGTGCTTCCAAAAAATGCTAAATGGATAAAAGACAGTGTGATTGGTTTTGATCCAGAAAATAATCAAATTACTACGAGTAATGGCGACACCGTACAATATGATACTTTAATCGTTGCATTAGGTTTACAAATTAATTGGGATCAAGTAAGTGAATGATTATTTTCAATAATAATATAACACATCTTTTCATTATTTGATATATAAATATGTTAATCTTATTTCTATAATAGTTACCAGGTTTGAAAGAAGGTCTTCAAAGTGAAAAATCACAAGTATGTTCCATTTATGGATCAGAAACTGTACCACATGTTTTTAATAAAATCAAAAGAACGAAGGATGGTACAGCTATATTTACATTTCCAAATACTCCTGTCAAATGTCCAGGTGCACCATTGAAAATTACTTATCTTGCTGAGGATTATTTTGTAAAGGTATATATTGTTATACAATATACAGTATATTATTATCTGTAAATTGATAATACAAACATTGAGTACAACAACAAATGTTGTTCGTCTGTTTTTTTTTTTTTTAGACAAATGTACGTAAAAACATAGATGTGGTTTATCATACATCCTTACCAGTTATTTTTGGTGTCAAGAAATATGCCGATGCTCTTTGGAAAATTTGTAATGATAGAAACATTGATGTTAAAACGAGATTAAATCTTGTAAAAATAGACGTTGATAAACAAGAAGCGACATTTGAGAATTTAGATTGTCCAGGTGAAACTTGTACAATGAAAGTTAGTACATTCAATATTATTATGTATAATATTTAATATCATTGATATATTGAAATTATTATTATTATTATTTATGTTTAGTACTCGTTGTTACATGTATGTCCACCAATGGGACCACCAGATGTTTTGAAGAAACATCCTGAATTGACAGACAAGACTGGATTTTTATCGGTTGATCCTGGTACATTGAAACATACTAAGTATTGTAATATTTTTGGAATAGGAGATTGTTGTAATACACCGAATTCTAAAACTATGGCAGCTGTAGGTAATGAATTAATAATTATTTTATTATTTAAACAAATAAGAAAACTTGATTGCTAGACATTAATATTTATTTATGATTATATTTTAGCTGCACAAGCAAAAGTTCTTTACAAAAATATCATCGATGATTTAGAGGGTAAACCAATGGTCATGAATTATACAGGATATTCTTCATGTCCTTTAGTTACTGGACGAGGAAAATGTATTATGGCTGAATTTGATTACAAATTACAACCCATGGAAACGTTTCCTGTAGATCAATCTAAAGAATTATATTTCATGTTTTTACTGAAGAAATATTTCTTCCCGTTTATATATTGGAATCTTATGCTAAAGTTTGTATTTTGTAGTTTAAATAATTCTTTCCGATTAATTTAAGAAAATCAAAACTTATATATATTTGGTAATTATTTTATATTTTAGAGGTTGGTGGAATGGTCCTGAATTTTTCCGAAAGTTTACAAGTTTTATGAAATCTAAGTGAAGATTAAAAGGTATTTATATTTCCATTTTGAGATTATATTAATATTTTTATGAAATATTTTATCTTGTTATTAAATAAATCATAGATTACGTTTATTAATGTAAATATTAATCTATAACACATATATATATATATATATTATGTTCTTCCTAAATTTATACTATTTAAACATAAGAAAATGATAACAAGTGATCATTGTTAAATTAAATGTTAAATATATTTCTCTAATGTTATTTTTACGATCGTCCAAATTTTATAAATGTTATTACAATGTTGTTGCATACTATAGAACCAATTTTCGCGTTCTATTGAAAATATAGATATTTTGAAGCTGACTAAAAAGAGAGAGAGAGAGAGAGAGAGAGAGAGAGAGAGAGTATTATTTCCAACAACACACACACAGGTTTCCAATTGAATATTTTTAATAAAAAAACATTCTTCACAGGACTATTAAACAATTTTTATATAATCTAAATAAATCTATCATTTCTCTTAACATTGACAAATGTTATTTCGATGAAAGATTTTCAAAAAAAAGAAAAAAAAAAAAATCCATAACAAATAGATAAAGAATATCATACTTGGAATAATCCCATACACCAGCAGGGTAATTCGCATAATTCAGATACCGCTGTAAAGCGTAGGAGAGTCTAAAAGAACGAATTTTTCCTTTAATCTCGAGGGAAATCTAAAGATTGATGCAAGGATGGCAAGAAGTTGAAGGGAAGTGGGAGGGGGAGGGAGGGAGGGTAGTAGAAAGAGAAGACGCAGGTATAGCAAGTGGAAGGTTTTTCGCCGAGAACCTGAAGGACATTGGCCGGTTATTTGGAGTCATGTGACAAGGCTGGTGTCGATTCGATCGTACCCGTTGGTTACTCTTTCATCGAATTCTTCCACGCTGGGAATTTTAGATTTGATTACGGAACATGGTGGCCTCTCTAACATTCAGTCCAACTCACCCCAACCCCAACCCCAACCCGAACCCGAACGGCCACCCATCCACCCAGTCTCCTGTTTTTCCCTCTCTTTTCTCCTCTTCATCTTCCTCCTTCCAAACTCTCGACAATCTCTCGTGTTCACCCCCTTCCTTTTACTCCCCCCCCCCGCCATCCCCCCTACCACCCCTATTTCGACTATCAGAGGAACGCGATACACAAACACAAGCATCAGCACCGGCAGCACCCTTTTGCCATCGAGGATGAAAAACTCTTGTTGTACGATCGCGACGGAATTATTGGCCGGCCGAGCTTATTTATGGCATTCATTTTCCTCGAGATTGCTAGAGGAGAGGAGGAGAGTGCTGTATATGTATGTATGTATGTGTGTGTGTGTTTGTTTGTTGGTCGCCCGCTTGCGCGCGCGCGCGCACGCACGCGGGCATACCTCGTCTCCACCCATTGTTCACTCTCTCCTCTTTGTTTTTTTTTTTTACCGAACGGTCTGTCGATGCCACGATTTACGATCTTGTCACCTGAGAGACGAACAGGACGTTGATAACGACGATATTCTGACACGAGGGGTTGCTTGCTTGCTTGGTTATTCGATCTTCACCTTTACGGTGAACAAAAATATTACAAACTTGTTTTCAAATATAAATGTATTTAGAGATAGCACGGATTAATAAACAAATAGGATTTGATTATTGAAAATGTGATTAAGTAAAGAATAATGTGTTTAGAAATTGTTAACACTTTTGCATGGGGCTCTTGGAATGTAACGGATATTTCCTTCTTCACACGCACGTACTTAAACGAGCAGAAAATTCTCCTCTTCAGCCTCACCCTTAATCCAGGGAAAATCGTTCTCGTAAATCAATAAAGTGTTCGTAGTAGAAACGTTGTTGGATAAAGCCTGTAAAATGGAATCGCTTCTAACATCTTGCGGCTAGCAGTGGTCCAGGTGGCTGGCGAAAGCAATTAAACGTATAAACGGTGAAAATTAGCCGCAAGAATTGGCCTCGGTTTAGATTCAAGAGAAAGAGAGAGTAGCAGGAATTCACATGAATGGATACGGGAGCATCAGGGCCATTTAACACGATGACACCCTATTTACCACCCCCGCAGAAAAGACGACTGGATGAACGATAGTAAAGCCTTCCAGCACATATGTCAGCACGTGACCCGTGCTCCGTTGGTGGGCGTTTAGTATTAATCGTCGTACCTATCCCTTAGAAAACGAGATCATTCATTTATCCTACCAACTAAAACTTCTTATTCAAAGCCACAATCAACGGTTTATTTCACATTTCACACTATTTCACAAATATCATCCTAGATTATATTATCCTCTACCTTTTTATTTTTATTTTTTTTTTATTCCAATCCCTTTCGATAGAATTTTTTTGTTTGTTGGAAAGTTGTATTATTGTACGACAGATACCTCTCGTTAAATGAACTCAGCCGAAAAGAAGAGGAAAATATTTATTGGAAACCGAAACATTTTTTGTCGGCTAGCTTTGATGACAAAGAAATATATATATATAAAGTGTTCAGTAGCCGATTAGAAACATTCATTTACAAAAAAACGGAATGTCCTTGGACTGTCAAAAGATTGAGTTATGTTTTTTTTTTTTTTTATGGTTATCTTTACGCATCAAGCACGGATCTTAAAATCATCTTCAACGAAAAAGCCAGCCGTCTTTGGAAGAAATATATTCTTGGTTAGTTTCTCTTCCTTCTTCTCTTCTTCTTTTTCTTTTTTTTGTTACCATCGACAAAATCCCATTCGGTTGGTCAGTTTTCCCCTTTTTTTTTTTTTTTTGTAGAATTCCGATTAATAAAAAAAACCTTACGTCGGAAGTTTTTTTATATTCTTTTTCTCTCACACTCAACGCTTACCAGAAATAAGAAGAATAGAATTTCAGTAGAGTTTGAGGTAACTGTTTAAGTTTACCGTATTGTCTTTTTGTTATTTTTTTATTGTCAATGGATTACGTAAGCTCAGCGTGTCGTATACCACATGGATCGTACGTGTTCTATTCAGAAGATCTTTTCTTCTTTTTTTTTCTGCCACTGGACATTTTTCTTCATTCATTCACTTCCTCTTCTTCATCTTCATTCAGATTCGACTGGTGCGGTCCAAACACAAAGAAACCCCGGAAATAAATCAAACGAAAAACATCGTCTTGAACATTTCAACGTAAGATAAGTTTTTTCGTAGGAGTATGAATTTAATAATAAAAAAGTGTTACAACATTTTGTAACAAAAAACGTGAAAGTGGGGGTGGGGTAGGGAGGTGGGAGGGGGGGGGGAAGAAAAGATGATTCTTTTTTTCTCAGGACTGATTCAAATACTAAGAAAGTCAATTTATCTTTTAAAAGTGTCATCCGCAATCTTTGTTGGCAAATAGTAGAATATAAATTACATGAATGAGAATATCTTAATGTTGGCCCTATTCTAGCTACTATATTGTGCTACAGGATATTCATGGGGATTAGATACGCCCTGAGAATGATACATCTTGCTACCTAAAACTTGTGTCCTTTATTCTTTTTATCTGAACAATGGCTAATTGTAAACCTGTACCACCCTTTTTTTTTTTTTTTTTTTTACAGATAATACTCTCTCATGTAGAGTTTCATAAATATCTATAATCATAATTATGATTTTATTTGATATGATTTTTGACTCCTCTTGCATTACATTTTCTTATGTTTGTCAATAATCAACAATTTGTTACATTTATTTATTCAAAAGATCAAAATTAGTCTTTCCAATAGTTGTCCCAATCATTTTTAAGGATCAGATTATAATTAGATTAAATTGTAGGACAGTAAAATGACTCAACACAATCAAACGATATCAAAGTGAATTGATTTATTCACAATAGAAAGAACCCAGGCTAAATTTAAGTGGCTAAAGGAATAGTACAATCTTTATCTTTTGATAAAAGGATAACAAGAAGGGTAGAGGAGAAAAGAGAGAGAGAGAGAGAGAGAGAGAGAGAGAGAATGAGAAAGCTTAGCTTAGCTTTACGTAGGAGAATCGTAATAGTCAAAATGGCGGCAGTGTAGTCTTCTTATCGCCTGTTCGTGAACAGGCGAACCAACCCAATTGCATTGGGTGGCAGCCAATACGGCGGCTCTCGTCAGCGATATCATCGGTCTCATCCTTCCCGACCCTTTTCCACCTTAACATTCTGCGACAAATTTTCCCATCCCTTTTATATTTCTTATAAAAGCTACTACACCAAATTTATCTTACAAGTTAACCGAACTTGTGTTTTATTATCAATCTAAAATAATCGGTTTTTTATCAAACAGTGATTTATTCATTTTGTTTAATTCATTGTTATGATAAATGGGTATTTATGTATTAATGATAATGGGTATTTAGCAAAAATGCCGCTAATGCGCCAATCTATGACACAAGATCGCAATCGAGACACAAGATGTCTCGCATTTTGTTCTGTTTTTGGCAAATCCCAAATAAGCATTTTCGTAGCATTAAAAAATGATAAAACCCTGACGCAACCCTGACGAAACCTTGAAGAAACCCTGAAGAAACCTTGACGCAACCCTAACGTAACCTTGACGGTTGCTGTGTGCAAGCAACAAGGTTGTTTTGTGCGAACAACAAGATTGCTCTTTATTGGCGCAATTGGCGGAATTTTTGCTACGGTGGCGTTAATACCTAAGTTACCAATAAATGTTTAGATAAAACATGATAAATAAATTGATTTTATATCATTTGAAAAAGAAAATAAACTAAAAAGAAAGACACACTTTTCATAAAAGTCATATTTTTTGTTGTATTATTTTGTTCTTTTTGTTTGAAAATGAATTTTATACGAATAGAATAAGATATGATAAAAGGTATATATATATATTATATATATATGTATGCGCTCACAGGGTAGCTGAGATGAGATAGTACTCTCTCCTTATTTATGGCGAAGTACGATAATAACACGGATGATGGGACTCCCCGTCGTTGAGCGAGTATATCGGACGTAACCATGGCGACCGCGCAGAGAGGCCATATTGGTCCTTCGCCAGCTATCGATAATAGGAAAGATAAGGGTTTAGTCTTGGGGTATACTCGGACCACCATACTTTATCGTTTTCTAAATGCTTA